GGGTTTTCACGCGTCTCGGTCACCGATTATCTTTATTGTATTAAATGCTGCATTACGATAAATATATGCTTTCGTATTGCATAAACTTCTCATTGTTATGTATACTTTTGATAGTTGATGTTTTGTGATAACATATTGCGAAATATTCTCTAAGTAAAACATTCAAACGACCATACATTATTGTCTGTTTTTATAATCCATTAGTTGTACATAGTTTAAATATCTTAAATTTATGAAAATTAATTTAGCCGACATCTGAAAACTTTTATAAATATTTTTATTAAAAAAATTATTACAATAAAATTAAAAGAAAAAATTGCACATATAGAAAATTTGAAAAATTATGAAAAATTTTTGAACGTCGGCTAACTTTACTATCATCTTAAATTTTAATGAATGCTGAAATCACCAGATTCCTGATCATTTTTTAGTTTTATTTAACAAATAGATTATAGGAAGGAAAATTTTTTAAAAATTCACGTAGAAATTTTAAAGAATTATTGATGGTATTTCTTTGAAAATATTTTTTTTGTAATAATTTATTTGTTAAAAATTAATTAGATGTCTGTTAATTTATGACACTGCAGTTGACAGACATAAAAAATGTGCTTAAAATTTGATGGCAATTAAATTATTATAAAAAAAATTTAATTAAAAAATTTCACATGTGAAATATTAATAAAAATTACAAGTGAAAATTTTTAGAAGCATTTTTTTATTGTAATTGATTTGTGATAAAAATTTTTAAAATTGACAGCTGACGGCTAACTTCAGTATTATTTTAATTTTTATATTATCCTAAATATTAATTTTTTTAGTTTTGATAACAGAGTTATGTTAATCTAAACTATTTATAATTTTTTCAATTAGTTATCATTTAAAAAAAAAAAAAAAACTATTTCGTATGAAAGAAATAAACAATATCTACTGAATCGAACGAATTTTACTTGGTTACTTTTCTAATTTCGAATTGTAATCAAATAATATTTACATTCTTTAATGAGACTCTGCCGTGAAACTAGCTCTTTAACTCGCATCAGTATCTAAAATACTCTGGTATTGAATTAGACTATTTAAGGACATCATGTTACTTGGATCCTGAAAATATATCGAAAGGTATTCAGGATGTTCTGTAAGTTTTCAAATAATTATAGTGTGGGATATTTAAGTTATTGCAGCGTAGAGATGGTAGAAGCTTACAAAAATAACCTAAGCCAACCTCTTCTCCGGTCAATATCAACAGAGCGCCTTGTTCGCCGTGACTGGTTAGAAGAAGAGGGAAATGAAGAGCGGGCGGAGTTTTGCCAGTCGGTTAGTACTACATAACAACCTCTACTCGGCGCTCTTTCGTCGAAAAGTTAGTAGATGAATAACCGGATTGATTTTCTCAGAGTCTCTGGTTTGCAGCAATAGCAATACTATAGCGGCTGTCTGTGACGTGACATAGAAATATTATTTTTGTTGTTCTTTTTACTTTAAAATTTTTAACAATAAAAATGAAATTTTTTTACATTATTTTTTTTTTTTTATATTTTAGTATCATATATCATATATATTTGTAAATATTAATTAATATTTTATAATACTTTCTTTTGTGACAATAAAAATATAACGGGAGTAGAGGATTATGAACGAAAGTGATGACTCGAATTTCCGGCACGCTTAATAGTAAAGACTCAACTCATCAATTTGTTTCTCTTCAATTCACACTTGAGTATTTTACTCTTTTTCTTATTTTAGCGCAGTCATTGGCAACGGTGTCTGTGATATGTATATGTATACGTATACATACAATAGTTGGCTCTTTCTTTGTTGGCTGCTGTTATATGTTATATGTATGCACAAACAAAACTCTTATAATGTGGCAACGCTGTATAGCGCCACGACGTTGCCAGACGTCCTTTTCTCTTACTAGCGTACTATACATACTATTTCCCGTCGTGTCGTGTCGTCGTAGACTGCAGATGACGTCACGGCCCGTACGATAAACCGCGAACACGTAGCATCGTCAGCCCGGTTTTGTCCGCCAACAAAGTATGAGTTACACTAGAACAATTTTATAACTTGTTTTTATTTTGTCACGCTTTATTATATACAACTTGTTATTTTATTATTATTAATTTTTTTTTAATTCAGGTTAACATTTAAAGAAAAAAATTCAAAATATCAAATTAATAATTTATAAATTTTTCAACGTTTGATTAATTTATTTTACATTTATAAGAATTTTGAATTTCCAGAAGAAACTACATAAATATATATTTGAATATTTCAAGTTAAAGGGGTCGACCCGTGTGACGATTGATGAATTTTAGAAGCTTCATTTTTTATAGCACACTCAGAGTTGTCGCGTTTGAGATGTGTAGTACATGTTAAACTTTAAAATTAGGATTTCAACTGATTTATATTTAAATAAAATTTAAATAATTTATGAATTATCTTTATAACTTTGATATAAAGAATTTGTCTATATACTGCGTCACTTTGAATTAAAATTATTAAGTTAATAATTCAATGTAGTGAAGATATTAATTCTTTCTCTAGTTCAATCATATTGTGTTTATTAATAAAGATATTTTATTTGATTGTATAAATACGGTGGAAGTATAAATTTATTCACTAAATGTACTTTAAAACAGTAAAAACAATTTTTATTTTTAATAGTCAAGATAGCGATATGTTGTTTTTTTTATCGCTTTATCCATTATATTAATAACTTCCTAAATAGTTACTCACGACGTAGTTCAAGGTCAACTAGCTTTTGTATTATCGTTTTAAAGAGGAAAAAAACTTTAATGGTCGGAATTTTATGATAAAAATGAATAATTATATAAACTGTAATTGATAGGTAATTATTAAAAATTGTAAGTAGTGAAAAAAATAACTAACTAGAAATTGTAAGACAAATATGAATGAATAAAAAATATACACATTATATTTTCTAAGGAAAATAAATATTTATAATTATTAACTATCGATGATTATATAAAAATAAAAGTAAAAACCGATGAATGAAATGGGGAGTAATAATATTTGGAGTTTCTCTTTCTGGTATCTTACATTATCCTATGTTAAAATTTTTTCTATATATATATATATGTATACATTTGACTTTGTCAGACAAAGAATTACATTAAAGATTCGTGCTCGCTTGTGGCAGTCTCAATGTGATGTCAACAGCAGTGATGTCACTCAACCAATTTAAGAAAATAAAACTGTATAAGACTCACTTTGATAAATACTTGTAGATATGACGTAATACACATTATTAAAATTTATTGTATTTTTATCCACACAACCAAATTTATAATACATATATGTGCCTGTGTATACTTGTATAAATATATATTTATAAAATAAATAGGTGAGTTAAAAAACCAAAATGAGTACTGTAAGGCGGTCAACGACTGGTTGTGAATACATATTATATAACGTACAAGAAACGATTTTAAAGTAGAGTTCTCAAGCATAATAATAGTAAACAATAGAGTTGAGAACAATCACTGCACGTGGTTATAATCTATACTTTTATATCTATTTATCTTTAACGACAGTTTATATGTATCTTTAACTAACTAGTTTTTTTTTTTTTTTTTTTTTTTTTTATTTTAAATTCTTTTTTTTTCACGTAATAATGACACTAAAAGCATTAATATGTCTTATAGATACATTGAATGATTTTGTATATTATGATCAAAACAGAAAACTTAAATAAAGAATTGATTGTTTTTTTTTATGTTTTCTCAATAAATAAAAAAAAATTAATAATAACATGCAGTTGACCGAGTTATTATTACATACTTACATCGATAATATATTTATAAGTAAATAATTATTTTTTAATACAATAATTTTTAAAAATATCATCATTGTTTTTTGTCTACAAACAAAAAGTATCAAATGATTTTTTAAAATAATATTTTTATATATAAAAATTTCAGTTTAATTTCTTAAATTTGGTTCTATTAAAATAAAAAAATCAAAAATAAATAAAATTATGTTATATAATGTAAACATTTTTAATGACGTGCAAATATAAGTAATCAAATCAATAATCACATAATTTATCTGACAACTGAAAAAATGAAAATTAAAAAAAAATAACAAAACAAAATATTTATATTCTTGGGTTTGGATAATTTTTGGCGGGTGTGATGCTGACTTTTGCTAATACAATCGCACGATCCCGGTTTGCCGTTGCGCTCAGTGTACGTGTCCCCCGGGGTCGAGCGTCATGTACGCGGGGGAAAGAGTGGTAGCCGGTCAGTCGCGCGAGAATGCAACGTAAGGAGAGAAGCTGCGCGGAATGTATAACGCATGCGCAAATAAATCGTGACGTCGCGTTTTGTGACGCCATGTTTGCTCATTGGCTGGAGCTCGAGCTTTATATTAAAAGTAGTGGGGAATTACACCCGTAAGTTCGTTTCAACGTCGCATTCTCGAGCGTTCCGCGTTTGTTACCGCTGTTATTTTCGTGGTAGTAATTTGTTCAATACAATAATTGTAAGTGAAGCGCATGAAATTAACTTAGTAATTACAATTATATCATTTTTTTGTAAATATTATAAGCTCTAAAAAATTTATTTAAAATCATTGTGTTGGACGTTTTTTTAAATTTTATTTATTTTTCTCCTTTTTCATCCGACGTGACTCCACCCTTGTGGTTAAAGTTTAATGCTTGAGATTCGCATCTCTCCACGCGTGTGAGTGAGTTAATTATTTTTCAGTCCCGAGTGATTCGTTACTTGTTTATTTTTTTTTTTTTTGTTTTTTAATTTTCTATATAATAACGAATTTCATTTGGTTTATTTGTGAATATATTTAGTGTTAGTGGAGGAAGACAAAACGTACAAATGATTTTGAAAGAAATCATGAGATAAAGGATTACTATTTTTTTTACGTAGTGTGTATAGTAAAAACTTAAAAGCATAAAATACGGGAAAAAAAAAATTAAATTTTAATCTTGAATTGAAGACAAAGTTAAATAACTATTCATCAAGATGATGGGAAAAAGAACCCAGTGCTACCTGTGTGACCTACCTCGTATGCCATGGGCTATGATAATGGAATTTTCAGAGCCAGTATGTCGTGGGTGTGTTAATTACGAAGGCGCAGACAGAATAGATTTAGTATTAGAGTCAGCAAAACAGCTGAAAAAGGCTCATGGCTTCCAGGATACCAGACCATCAGTTTCAAAAGCATACAGAAGTACCAGTCACTCGGAGCACAATGGTGGGACGAATATTGATGTTTTACCAATTCAAAACGCCGGACAAGCCCATTCTAGGCACCACAATATTGCCAGTTATTCACAACTCCACCACCGCAACTCTATAAATGACTTTAATTCAAATACACGACAGCAGCAGCAACAGCAACAGCAGCAGCAGCAGCAGCAACAACAACAACTGGTCGCAGCAGCCCGTCAACAACAGCATGAAGAACCTCATGAATTAGCAAATGGCATGAGAAATAACAATGTACGGATGTCAAACGCTCACTTAGCTGCTGTAAGTCATCATGTTAATCTCAGTCACAGTCGTAGCACACAATTAAAACGAGGAATCTCTACCATTGATGAAGATGAACATCCAGAAAAAAGATTATCGCTTGAAGAACAGCATCCAGTCAGGCCACCTCTTACTCGAGGTGAATCTCTTCCTGCTGTTAGTCTTGCTGTTAGCTATGTTCAAGACAGAAGCAAAGAAAAACATCCAGTTAGGGCACCCAGTTTTGAGACTGCTACAACTTTCAAGGCCAACGGTAGGTTCTTGTTTTTCAACATACATATTTTATGTACATACATACATACATACCGTCACATTTTTATTTCAAGTAGGTGTACGAGCATTTTAAATTACACACGTCAAAAACAAAAAAAAAATTGTTGACAATGACGTTCAGACTATGACGTTACGATTATATATTTAGACCTATGAATGGATCCGGTTTTCTTGATATGAATCTCTCAAGCTATTGTTTGTTATTATTTTATCTAACTTCGTAGTTTTTACAAACTATTACTCAGTTTATTCAATTGCAGAAGTAAAAAAAATAAAAGAAGTTCTTAGTATGCAATAATAATCATAATATTATATATCGTAGCTGATTTGAGCTTTTATGACTCATCACTTTAATTCCCATCTATGTTTTTTTCCCCTCTCCTATTTACTCACACGTGACACGTTGGCCGATCGATAGTGTATATCTGTTTCTCTTCACACTATACTAACTTTGTCCTATCAGGAAAAAGCTTCGCTCCACTTCTAGATACGCGAAATAAATTTTTATAACATTTTTAAACCTTCTAAATTTTTAAAAATCTTATTTAGTTACAAAAATAAAAAAGTTATTGATGCATGGTGAATATGTGCAGAATAATAAAATTTATATGGTTAAATTTTTTAATAAACTCTAAGTTTAGTTTTTGTTTTCATTTCTTCTCGTTAATTTTTGATCCTTAGTTTTTCTTTAAAGAAAGACAAATACCGTTATTACTTTCCGAATCTTAAATAAATTTCCGTTACAAATGGTAATAAATCTTGAGAACTTTTGAGGAGGTAGAAGACTAAAAAACTCCTAAATAACCGTTAAACGTCTTGTTTCTATTTAAACATTTTCCTTTTATACTTTTAAACGTTGAATTTCTTGGTTGGAAAAAAAAAAAAAAAAATATTGGATACAAGCGACAATGATTAATATTACAGATTCATTTTTGATTGAAGATAAACTCTAACGTTCAACTCGATAGCAATCATCTTATTTTTAACCTTATTTATTGATTAAAAATAAATTCCTTGGGAATTATTGGAATGTGAAAAATAAAGACATGATTAATTGAATATTTTAAAAATAACAAAGCAATTTAAACAATATATATTTTTAACAGATTGTTGAGTATATTCTTAAAAATTTACTGAAATTAACTACAGTAGAATTCCTTTAAAATCAATTCAACTGGGGAAAAAAAAAAAAAAAAAAAAAAAAAAAAAAAAAAAAAAAAAAAAAAAAAAA